GGTTCCTTAGAATACGGACTGAACCATAAGTGACATTTGCTATTTTCCCACATTGAAAATTTCATTCCACCCTTTAAAGTCTCTCTTAAATATTACCATCTCAGTGGCTGTTCCTAGCCAGTAGAAACATTTATGTTCATTTGCTATGTGTCAGGAATGCTGATAGGAGTTAACAATCTCCCCCAGTTCACTGGTACTTTCAGTGAAAACTGGTGTGTTTTCAAAACATAGTCACAATCTCTTTGGATCTGAGTTTTCTATACTTCTCTTTCCTCTTCACCAGAGATTTTCTTTCCTCAAAGATCTGCTGATATCTAGTTGATATTTGTACTCCCACTATCATCTAAAAAGTACAGTAGAGAGTAAAGAGTCAAGTATTTACTGAAATCAACCAAGTACAGCATCTTCTGAGCAGGCATGGGGTTACATGGTGAGGAAGGAATTCTAAGACCTGTGAACCACCCATCTGGAAATTTCATTTGAAATATTCTATAAATCTATCATGTGACAGTGTTTGGGAAACTCTGGTACTCAGCTTAACTTCAGCTGACCTTAAGATGAGAGGCTAGTACAAGAACCAAGTGTAAACATCTATAGTCAACCAATTTTCAGAGTGCCAAGACCATTCAATGGAGAACCAGTCTTTCAACAAACGGTGCTGTGACAACTGGACTGCCACAAGCAAAAAGAAAAAAAAAAGTTTCTCTCATACCATATACAAATGTTAACTCAAAACAAATCAAAGCTGAAACTATAAAACTCTTAAGAGGAAACTGTCATGATCTTGGATTGGGTAGGGGATTCTTCTATATGATGTTGAAAGCATGAGCAACAAATAAAAAGCAGATGAACTGAACTTCATCAAATTTTTAAAAACTTTGTGCTTCAGAGGACACCATTAAGAAATGAAAAGATAATTCATGGAATGGGAGGACATTTGCAAATCATGTATCTGACAAAGAACTTGTATCTAGAATACACAAAAAAATTCTTATAAATAAAAAGACAACCCAACTAAAAAATAAGCAAAGGCTCTGAATAGACATTTCCTCATAATGTACAAATGGCCAACAAGAACATGAAAAGAAAATATAACCTTTAAGAAAGTCTTTTAATATAGTCTTAAGAAAGACTTAGTCTTTAAGAAAATACAATCTTACTGTTGATAAATGTATGTTCTGGTATACAGATGTCATTTTTGTTGTCACAGCACTACAGTACAATACACAAATAAAAACTTAAATTCATAAAAAAAGAAAATATAATCAAAACCACACTAAGATACCATTTCTCAAGCATTATGATGGATAGAATAAAAAAGGTCAAATAACAACAGGTATTGGTGAGGATGTGGAAAAATTGGTTCCCTCATACAAGGCTGGTGGGAATGTAAAATGGTGTGGCCATTTTGAGAAACTACTCCAGCAATTCCTCAACTGATTAAAAGCAGAGTCATCATATGATAGAGCAATAATAATATGCAAAATGTGGAAACAATGCAAATGTCCAACAAATGACAAAATGGATAAACAAAATATGGTATAGCCACACAATGGAATGTTATTCAGGCATAAAAAGGAATACATACATAGACTCTGAAAACATCAGGCTAAGTGAAGAAAGTCAGTCACGAAAGACCACATATTACATGATTTCATTCACATGAGGTCCAGAATAGGAATTACATAGATAGAAAGTGAATTAGTAGTTGCCTAAGGTTGAGGGCAGAGGGGTTTAGGGAATGGGTACAGGGTTTCTCTCTGAGGTGATAAAAATGTTGCAATATCTGTGAATATACCAAAGCCCACAAAATTGTACATATTAAGTGGGTGAACTGTATGGTCTATGAACTAAAAAATGAACACTGCAAACCAACTATTAATTTACTCCAACAAAAATTAAAAAAAAAAAAAAAAAGGAAAAGGAACAGGGCTATCTAGGTGGCTCAGTGTATAAGAATCACCTGCCAATGCAGGAGACATGGGTTCAATCCCTGATCCAGGAAGATTCCACATGCTGCCGAGCAACTAAGCCTGTGTGCCATAACCACTAGACCTCTGCTCTAGAGCCTGGGAGCCCCAAGTACTGAAGCCAGCGCACCCAGAGATTACTACCTAGAGAGGAGCCCCCACTTGTCACAACTAGAGAACGCCCTCGCATAGCAACAACGATCCAGGGCAACCAAAAATAAAGAAAAGAACAGACATGTAATACATAAATTTCGTTTTCCTATTTAAAAATACCTTTTTTAAAGGTATAGTCTTACTACTTCATGCTACTTTAGGGCAAGCACCTCTTAACCTTAGGACTATATCATTTTTTTTTTTTTAAAGGCAGCATTGCAAAACCATCTAAAGCTTCTCAGGTACCAAAAAAGAACAAGCTTTTGCCAGATTTTTTTCCCTTCCTCATTTCCTTCCCTGTCCCCTATGCCAGCCCTTCACCACTTTGTTTCACAGTCACAACAGAAACATACAACTAGATGTTTCAAATATGCTTTAGCTACTGAACATGGCTTTATGTGACTGTTCTTCATTTTGAAAAGAAAGGATTTTAACACTGGGATTAAAATATACTCACAGCATACATATACACTAAGTTGTGCAGTCATCGCAAGGTTAACAATTACGATACTGAAGCTATGTATAATTTAATTTTTGCTTATATGGATTTCAATAGATTTTTTTTACTCCCAATGCCCTCAAAGGAGAAAGTTTCTACATGAACATTTTTAAAACTTTTTTTTTTCAAATAGAAAGATGTTAATTTTAAGTCTATTATAATTTATAGCTTAGGTAATAACTATTCAAAGCAGATGGCCTGCATCACCTGGAGCTTTGCAACTCATCCTTGTCTGTGGACTAGAAGCAATGTCACAATGAGAGTTTGTTAAAAATGCAGAACACTGGCTTATCCCAGCCCTACAGAATCAAAATTTGCACTTTAACAAGATCTCCAGATAACTGACATATGAAGTTTGAAATGCAACGATAGAGAACACTTAGAAAACATGCAGATTCTAGTGAGGCAAAGGTATCTGCATTTTAAACAAGAATCCTATAGTTTCTTCTCCACACTGAAGTTTGAGAAGCACTATTCTGTAAGTGACATTCTGAAAAAATATTCCTTTAGAGCAGCTTTGGTATACTAATAAGTATTGCTATGTACCCTTCCCAAAATAGCTTGAAAAGCAAAAAATAGTAATAATTCTGAATTTATAAGCCTCACAGTAATACTACTTTAAAATACCTTGAGTCTCATGAAATAAAGGATTTAGATGAATAATCAAAACCAACATTTTAGAAAGCTTTCATAATGCACTAACCACAATACATTTATTCACACTCAGAACTCTATAGACTTTAACTGGGGGGAAAAAAAAACCCCACAACCTTATTAAACAGTCCCATTCAAATGGGAACTAGAAACTGTAGTTCCTTTTACTCAACTTTAAAAAGACCTCAATAAAACAGAATGCTTAGTGGTCACAATATTCTAGTTTACACTATCTTAAGTTTATTCTGATCCTTGTTGGTGGAAAATCTTTGTAGTCCCACAGGGAATCCAGGTCTTACAATCTTGCATAGACATTACCTTTCAAAATATGTTAAGTAGCTGTAGAGTAAAAAGGACTACAAGGACACTACCCCCAAAAAGGTTATTTGCTGTATAAGATAATTTTTATTAAATCTTAGGAGATGCCGGTTTTGACATTTCATTCAACAAATATTTGCAAACTGCAAATGTTCAATATCTTGTGAGGAACACAAAGATGATCAAGGTACTACCCCTAGCCCCAAGAAGCCTATAATCTTGAGGAGAGGTGAGGTTTGGCCAGGAACATGCATATATAAATAGCAGAATATGGTCAGTACTGAAAACTGACCAGGGAAGTTACCAGTTCCACGTAACTGAAAGCTAAATAAAGGATATTCTACAATAATTTTCAACTAATTTGGTGCAGAGTGGATCAAGCTAGGGAAGCTTATTTAAAAAGCATTTTATAAGGAAGTACAGTCTAAGGTAAACAATTCTTTGGAAAATTTGCTTATATTTTAATACACATACACACACTTAAAGTTCAGCTATCAGGTGTGTGTGTTCATCAAAGGCAAAGCAACTGAAACATGAACTAGATTCAGGAGGCCCAATACAGTTAAGTTCATAGAGGGCGTTTCCTTTGACAAAAACAGGAACACGTAGCTTCAGAGATCGCTGATCATGCGAGAAAAGAGGAAAAAGGAGTGAGGATCTCTTATTTCTCCCCTGGTAACTTAAAAAAAAACCTCCCCCACTGCCCAGCAGTTTCCTGGACTACTCCCTCCCTTCAACTTTGTATTTTATCAACACTATGATCCTTAAAACGCTTAGAAACTAAAGACAAGCAAAACCGGCCAAATTCATTTGCCTATTTAACAGTCTAAAACAGAGGTACCTCCCTCAAAGGGAACTAGCAGTCCTTGAAGGTCCAGGACCGGGAAAAGTGCATCCACACGGTCCCTCCAGCGCCCCGGCCACTCAGCGCGCTCTCTTCACTGCTCTCCCTTTTCAGAGGCACACCCTCCCTTGGGAAGGGAAAGGCAAGCACCTCTTGGAAGAGGCTGCGGAGGTCGCCCGGCAGCGCGAAGAGGTGTGCTGAGACCCAAGGCAGGACCTTCAGAGCTCTGGAAAAAGAGGCGCAAGTGACACCGAGGAGGGCCAGCTGAGCGGGGAAAGGACGCTCGATGCTCTGTCCGCTCTCGGCCCTCAGGGGATCAGGTCGGCCCCCGGCCCCGCAGGTCGCTCTCCTAAGCAGGCCTGGCCGCCCAGGCCAACTCCAGCCCAATGACAGGTACGCGAGGTGGGGCCCGCGTCACAGGTGTCGCCCCATCCAGGTCCTTGCAAACCTGGGGGCTAGGGGGAGCGGGAGACGCCAAGGGTCAAGTCGAGGCAGGGCAAGCACCAAAAGGTGAGACGCGCAGCAGCAACGGAGCGCAGCACCCACGGCGACGCGGTCTCACCTCTAGGGTGGAGACAGTGCTGGTGAACAGGTCCTCTCCGTCCTCCAGCTCTTCAAAGTCGGTGGGTTTCCCGTCCCCTAGCGGAGGAGGCTCCCTCTCGGCCGCCATCTTCGCTCGCCCAGACGACTGCGCGAGCGGGACCTCACGGACCTGTCACGTGAGCACGCACGGCTAGGCTCGCGCGCCGGCCGCCGGGCTCCCCCGCCTCCCTGGCCCGCCGCGCGCGGCCACGCCCAGCGGCGCGCGGCCCCGCCCCCGGCCTCGTGAAGGCGTCAGTCCCGAGCGCGCTGCGCTCAGCCCCGCCCCGTTGCCTCTCCTTCCACCCCCACGTCTGGTCCCGGCTCCTTTTTTTTTACCGCCCACTTGCTCTGTTGACTGTTGTGGAAGAATCTTGGCGTTCTATTACCATGTCTCCTTCTTAGCGGGACTAGGCCAAACGACTTTTGTTGTTGTTACCAGTTTTAAATCTTCTTTAGGAAGTGGAAGAGCCTGGGGACCAATCTTTGGGTTTGGGTTATGCACAGACTGAGGGCGAGATTGAGGATTGGCAGGAGAGAGAGACATCTCTCTTAGATCTGTGGGCTGTCCTGTAGAACTTTCTGACGTGATGGAAGTGTTCTGTCTCAGTCTGTCCACCAGGACTTCTCTCGTGGCTCAGCGGTAGAAGAATCCGCTTGCACTGCAGGTGTAGGTTCCATCCCTGGGTTGAGATTCCCTGGAGAAGGAAATGGCAACCCATCCCAATCTTCTTGCCTGGGAAATCCTATGGACGAAGGACCCTGGCAGGCTACAGTCCATGTGGTTGCAAGAGTTGGACACAACTTAGCGACTACACCACCACCACCACTGTCCACTAGAGTAACCGATGGGCATTGCACATAGCAACCTGAGGTTAGTATTTTGCTGGAGAGGAAACCTTCACAGGGATTCTTTACAAATTAAGTATCTAGACGTCTTCAGCTCTCAATGGCCGGGGAGTTAGAAGTCCTGGGTTTTACTGGCTATGTACAAGACTGACTTAGCATCACTGTAATTATTATTATCTTTTGAAGTGCATTGAGCAGACGGTTTTCCTAGTTGCTAGGCTTTCTTCCACCCCTATTTCTTAATTTTTATGATCATTGTTAAGAAGCATCAACCCAAACCACAACTAATTTAAATAAGTATATCGAGGTCCAAATGTTGCTTGGGTGAGCTGGATACATGGGCCAGTTGTCACTATCATGCCACATCACCATCACCACTGCCGCCGGTCTGTCTGGAATAATCAGCTGTTGAGGCACATTCCCCCGTCTGCATTCCACCACCTATAGACAGTCTGTGGTCTGTCACTGATCAGAAACTTTAATCTCTTTTGAAAGTTCACAGTCTGGCTTGAAGTGATTTTCCTCTGTATCCTGTTTATCTGTGCCTCTGTTTATTGCTTACTACTTTCTGTCTTATGCTATGGTCATTTTTATTCCCAGCATATCTTTTTTACTGGACATCTGAATTAGTTGAAAGGTAGGTCCAGTCACTTGTAACAGAAAACCACATTAAAAGAGGCTTTTTAAAAAGTGTAGTTTAATTATTCCTCATGTAAGATGACAAAGGATCCATGACATCATCCAGGGAATACAGACTCCTCCTGTTGTTCCACCCTCCCTAGGAATAGAATGTCTTCCTTATGGTTCAGGTTGGCTCACCACCACAACCATATTCGAACAGACAAAAAAGGAATAAAGGTAAATGGAATGACATCCCATTCCCTTTAAGGATATGGTCCAGAAATGGCATACACACCACTTCTGTCCATATTCCTTTGATCAGCTTATTAGTTGCATGGCCATTCCTAGCTGCAGGAGACTAATGAATACTATCATTATGTGCTTCCCCCACCCCTAAAAACTAGGGGTTCTCTTACTCTGGAAGAAATGAACACTACTGTAGGAAACCAGTGGTCTCTGCTATAAAGCATCCATTCACTCTTCTCATGGTCGCAAACCTGAATTTCCTTCTGCGTAATCATTCTTTCCCACTCTCAGCTAGAAGTCCCCTCCAACTCAGGACTGGAGTATATGACCGAGGCTTAAGTCAAACCTAGCGTTGACTCCCTTGGCCCTAGTGATTGGTATGAGGTCAGATTTGGTGACATTTCCCCAAACTCTTAGCAGCTTTGATTGTCTTACTTTCTCTATTCATCCTAAACTACACTGGGACTATAAGAATTGTCTTGCTCTTTTTCTTCCTCAGTCCTTTGCTTTTCTGTTTTATCTTCTCTGAGATCCCAAATCCAATCATCAACTTCTGTAATCTTATGTACATATTGCCAAGAACATTTTTTTCATTCATTTTTATTAGCTGGAGGCTAATTACTTTACAATATTGTAGTGGTTTTTGCCATACATTGAGGAATCAGCCATGGATTTACATGTGTTCCCCATCCTGAACCCCCCTCCCTGCCAAAAACATTTTAAAAAAGTAAACCCCAGTCTCAACTGGAGATTCTGCAAGTCCATGATTCTTAACCCAACTCTTCACTGCCTAGATATCATCACTGGCTTCTCTTCTAAATCTTTCACCTATTCTTTCCAGTAGAGGTTCTAAAAATTCATTTTCTCCTCAGGTATCCCATCACCATTTCTCCTCATTTTGATCAAATGACTTAGCCTGCTCATTCAATGACAAAAATAAAATCTGCCAGTTAAAACCTTCAGTCTTCAAGTAGGATGGAAATTCTCTTCTCTCTGTGCTCCTATCACTCACTGTGTATGTTTCTATAACACCTATTATACTGTGGTGTGATCATGGCCACTTTTCTATCACCCTTGATAGTCTGCAGGATTGGTGCATGTCAGGGCTCTTTCTTATTTGACTTTGAATCCTGGCTAGTCCTCTTGTTGTTGAGTCACTCAGTTGTGTCTGACTCTGGAACCCCATGGACTGTGTAGCACATGAGGCTTCCAGGCTTCACCATCTCCTGGAGTTTGCTCAAACTCATGCCCATTGAGTCAGTGATGCCATCCAGTCATCTCATCCTCTGTTGTCTTCTTCTCCTCCTGCCGTCAGTCTTTCCCAGCATCAGGGTCTTTTCCAATGAGTCGGCTCTTCACGTCATGTATCCAAAGTATTGGAGCTTCAGCTTCAGTCCTTCCAATGAATATTCCTTTCCTTTAGGGTTGATTTCCTTTAGGATTAACTGGTTTGATCTCCCTGCTGTCCAAGGGATTCTCAAGAGTCCTCTCCAGCACCGAAATTCAAAAGCATCAATTTTTTGGCACTCAGTCTTCTTTATTGTCCAACTCTCACATCCATACATGCCTACTGAAAAAAACATAGCTTTGACTAGACAGACCTTTGTCAGCTAAGTAATGTCTCTGCTTTTTAATATACTGTATAGATTTGTCATTACTTTTCTTCCAAAGAGCAAATGTCTTTTAATTTCATGGGGGCAGTCACCATCCACAGTGATTTGGAGCCCAACAGTCTATCACTGTTTCCAATGTTGCCATGAAGTAATGACTGGATGCCATGATCTTCCCTTTTTGAATGTTGAGTTTTAAGCCAGCTTTTTCACTCTCCTCTTTCACCTTCATCAAAAGGCACTTTAGTTCCTCTTTGCTTTCTGCCATTAGGATGGTGTCATCTGCATATCTGAGGTTACTGATATTTCTCCCGGCAATCTTGATTCCAGCTTTTGTTTCGTCTAGCCTGGCATTTCTCGTGATGTACTCTGCATATAAGTAAAATAAGCTGGGTGACAATATACAGGGTAGTCCTCTCCTAGTCATCAATCACTGTAAACCAAATTATACCAAACTTAGCAGCCTAAAATCACCAATATTTATTTTCTCATAATTTCTGTGGGTCAAAAATCCAGGTGCAACTTAGCTGAGTGCCTCTGACTCAGAGTATCTCACAGGACTGCAGTAAAGTTATCTAGCAGAGTGGGAGTCAATTCAAGCAAGACTCAATTGGGAGGGGACCTGCTTCTACGCTTACTCATGTGACTGGTGGCAGGTCTCAGGTCCCTGCTGTCTGTTGTCTGGAGACTGAGTTCCTTTGCATACAAGCCTCTACATAAAGCTTTTGTTTTGTTTTTAATTAATTTATTTGTAATTGGAGGATAATTGTTTTACAATATTGTGTTGGTTTCTGCCATACATCAACATAAATCAGCCATAGGTGTACATACGTCCACTCCCTCTTGAACCTCCCTCCCACTTTCCACCCCATTCCACCCCTCTGGGTTCTCACAGAGTACCAGATTTGAGCTCCCTGCCTCATACAACAAATTCCCACTGACTATCTAAACCATAAGGTTTTTCAAACAGCATGTCAGCTTGCTTCCCCTACATGAGGACTCTAAGAAAGACAGAATGAGCCAGGAAAGGACAGGAGAGGGTGAACAAGACAGAAGCCAGAGTCTTTTTGTTACCTAATCTCAGAAGTGGCATCTCATCACTTTTGCTGTGTTCTGTTCATTAGAAGCTCACATTCCAGGGAAGGGATTAAATGGGGGATATGATTAACAGGAGGCAGGGATCTTGGGGGTCATTTTAGAGGTTGCCACACACCCCAGTAGTGTTTAGTATTCAATAAAATATATAGTATGCTGTTAATACCTTCAGTGAATAAATGAATGAATATATGAAACTCAGAAGAGAGGGCTAAATGGAAGATATAAATTTGGTAGTTAATACCACTAGTATATGATATGACCCAGGAAGTCTGGGAAGCACAACACTCAGGATCATTAAAGAAGCATGTAAAGGAAGACCTGGCATAAAGAAAACTAAAAAGCAGCAAATAGATAGGAAGCAAGATAGGAAGGAGGCAAAAGAAGTAAAATGTTTGGCAGTATCCATTGCCTTGGGTATATTAATAAGGTGGTAACTGAAAAGGTGAATGATTAATGAGTACAAAAAATGAAGATAGCAAGTTGTGATGGCTAATTTTATGTGTTCCTTTGGCTGGACCATGGTGCCCAAATATTTGGTGAAGTATTACATGGATGTTTCTGTGAAAGTGTTTTTGGGATGAGATGAACATGTAAGTCAGCGTCCTTTTAGTAACAGATTACTCACCGTTATGTGGGTGGGCCTCATCCAATCAGGTAAAGGCCTTAA